TTCTTGTCTATCATCTTCATGTGAAAACATGATAGGTTAGTTTACTTTGGTGCATGTTATCCTTAAATAACGTTTTTGCATTGTTACTGGTATTTAGTAGTAGAAAAATGTTATTGCTATTTCCCTTCTAAGTTCTTCAGATAAACAGCAACAATTTTCAATTTTAAGTATTGGTAATTAGTTGCTTGTAAAGTAGACTTGATATAAACCTTGTAAATAATTTATATCCTTTAACCCCACAAATATAGATAATCACCCAACAATTGTACTATTGTCACCATTTTACTAGTAATAACCCCACAAAACCACATGATAACCCTGCACCTTCCATAAAATGCACAATGTACCTCTCAACTGTATAGCTGTCCGCAAAAACTTTAACCTTGCCCATAACTTTTGATTTAGTGGAGCTGTTACTTTCAAATTTCACATGTGTATTCCTTGTGACAAGACCTTTCTTTGGGTACCACCAAATTTGACCTTGACCTTGGAGTTTGACCCACTTTTACACAAATATTCCAAACTTTTACTTTGGCCATTGGATATTACTAAATAATAATAAGACTTATAAGAATGCACAGTACTAGACATGCTTTGGATGCTGGATCTGACCAACATGTTTTAAATGAGTGACCAGGTTAAAGATATTTGAGCAGTTCGATCACCAAGAAACTATAAAGCCTCTCTGAACCAAACTTGCAAGCGCAGTACAGTTAAGGTGCGCAATGGAAATATCGCCTAAATTTTGTATTTAAAAATGTAATCGTAATCGGGAAGGCGATTATTTTTAGTACATTATTTACATCTGATAATTGTAATTATGATTAATAACTACATATCGAGGACAATTATATTTTATATTTAGACTAGTCACGTGATGCGGCAGTCACGCGATTTTAGCACATTGACTTGAAGTTTTGATGTTACATATAAATATCACTAGTGCAAGGGCATAACCAATTTAAATTTTTAAGTTTAGTATGTAAATATTCTCAACATGCATTGTAGTTTCTAAAAAGTGCTGCGACCCTATCTACATTCTGCAATTGTATTGTTAAAATTATACTTGTACGACCAAATGCTATATTTTTTGCTGGTCAGCGGCATGAAATATTGATATAATTAAATTGTGTTTAAGATTTCAACAGGATCGCAGCACTTTTCAGATACCTTAATAGTTCTTTAGTTAAAATGTAAAAGCTTACTTTGATCCATAGAGTGTATGCCCTTGCACTAGATCGATTTATCAAGACCCCCCACATTACCCTCCGATGTACTTGCATACAAATATACGGCAGTGTCAATTAAATAAAGTAATGTACAGAAAATATATTAATAAAAGAGTGAAGAAGGCATTAAATTCAAGTTATTGGCCCATAGAATATCTGTAAATAATATTTTATTTAATTAGAGAATACATATTTTGTTGAGAAAATACTACTTGATCTGTCTCTCAATGCATACAAACTACGTCACGTTGTAAGAAATGACGTCATATTGACAAGTGTATTGCGATCAGTGACTTGTTTATAACTTGTTATGTGGGATTTAACTAACGACAACACAACACGCTGTAGTAAGTTTTTATGTAGTTTGATGATTTCTTACTGGTTAAATTAGCAAATAAACTCATTTTGTGGTATTTTGAAGGTATGTTGTATGACGTATATTGTGAATGATGTCATAGTAAAGTTTTCCCGTACAAATTAGGCTCCGCCTCCTTTTTGTAACCTTAACTGTGCTGCGAGGCTGATGCATCAATGGATGAAAACTAAAACTTGCTTTAGATGCTGGATTTGACTTGCATTTCCTGGATGAGTGACTAATTTAAGTTTTTAGATACCTAAGTATTCCCAAGTAATTGCAAATTAAAAATTTTAAAAGTAGGTCAAACTCCAAGGTCAAAGGTCTTGCTATCAAATAAAAGGTCTTGTCACAAGAATTCAATATGTAAAGTATGAAAGCACTAGCCCTAACCCTTTAAAAGTTATAGTCAAAGTTTGCTTTTTAAAGGTAGGTCAAACTCCAAGGTGGAAGGGTCAAAGTTCTTGGTATACACTGAAGGGTCTTTTCACAAGGATTACATATGTGAAGTATGGGATCACTAGCCCTTAGTGTTCAAAAGTTATAGCCAAGTTTAAAGTTTTTTTCATAAGTACGAAAATCTCCAAGGTCAAAGTCAAAGTAATTGGTATCATATGAAAGGTCTTGTCAAAAATAATTACAAATGTAAAGTATGGAAGCCCTAGTCCTAACTGTTCAGAAGTTATGGCCAGGGTTAAAATTTTTAAAAAGTAGGTCAAATGCCAAGGTCAAGGGTCAAAGGTCTTGCTATCAAATAAAAGGTTTTGTCACAAGGATTAAATATGTAAAGTATAAAAGCACTCGCCTTAACCTTCTAAAAGTTATGGTCAAGATTTGTTTTTTAAAAATAGGTCAAACTCCAAGGTCGAAGGGTCAAAGTTCTTGGTATCCAGTGAAGGGTCTTTTGACAAGGATTATATATGTGAAGTATGAAAGCCCTATCCTTTACCGTTCAAAAGTTATGGCCAAGGTTAAATTTTTTTCATAAGTAAGGAAATCTCCAAGATCAAGGTCAAATGGTCATGGTGGGTCAAACTCCAAGGTCAAGGTCAAATTTGGTGGTACCCAAAGAAAGGTCCTGTCACATAGAATACACTTGTGAAATATGAAGGTCATAGCTCCACTAAATCAAAAGTTATGAGCAAGTTGAAAGTTTTTGCAGACAGAGAGACAGACAGACAGAGAGACGGACAGACAGCTAGACAGACGGACGGACACGACAAATACTATATACCCCCGAAACTTCGTTTACGGGGGCATAACAAGCATTATATATGTCACTAGTATATAATTACAAAATAAGTGTTTATTATAAAACTTAAAGAAAGAGCGATAAACTTCGGAGATGGTTGTCAACATATTGGTGCACTTATTGCATGAAAGAACAAAACAAGAGGCCCATGGGCCACATCGCTCACCTGAGAATATTTTGTCATATTGTTCTTTAACAGATTCCCCCCTTGTAATACATATTGTGGCCCCGCCCTACCCCCTGGGGTCATGATTTGAACAATTTAGAATCTACACTACCCCACAATGCTTCCACATGAGTTTCAGCTTTTCTGGCCCAGTGGTTCTTGAGAAGAAGATTTTCAAAGATTTTTCCTATATATTTCTATGTAAAACTTTGATTCACCATTGTGGCCCCGCCCAACCCCCGGGGGTCATGATTTGAACAATTTAGAATCTACACTACCCACAATGCTTCCACATGAGTTTCAGCTTTTCTGGCCCAGTGGTTCTTGAAAAGAAGATTTTCAAAGATTTTTTCAATATATTTCTATGTAAAACTTTGATTCCCCATTGTGGCCCCGCCCTACCCCCGGGGGTCACGGATTTGAACAATTTAGAATCTTCACTACCCCAGGGTGCTTCCACATCAGTTTCAGAAGATTTTCATAGAGTTTTCCTAAATATTTCTATGTAAAACTTTGATTCCCCATTGTGGCCCCGCGCTACCCCCGGGGGTCATGATTTGAACAATTTAGAATCTACACTACCCCAGGGTGCTTCCACATCAGTTTCAGCTTTTCTGGCCCAGTGGTTCTTGAGGAGAAGATTTTTAAAGATTTTTCCTATATATTTCTATGTAAAACTTTGATTCACCATTGTGGCCCCACCCAACCCCCCGGGGGTCATGATTTGAACAATTTAGAATCTACACTACCCCACAATGCTTCCACATGAGTTTCAGATTTTCTGGCCCAGTGGTTCTTGAGAAGAAGATTTTTCCTATATATTTCTATGTAAAACTTTGATTCACCATTGTGGCCCCGCCCTACCCCCGGGGGTCACGGATTTGAACAATTTAGAATCTACACTACCCCAGGGTGCTTCCACATCAGTTTCAGCTTTTCTGGCCCAGTGGTTCTTGAGAAGAAGATTTTTAAAGATTTTTCCTATATATTTCTATGTAAAACTTTGATTCCCCATTGTGGCCCAGCCCAACTCCCAGGGGTCATGATTTGAACAATTTAGAATCTACACTATCCAAGGGTGCCTCCACATAAGTTTCAGCCTTATTGGCCCAGTGGTTCTTGAGAAGAAGATTTTTTAATGACCCCACCCTATTTTTGTCTTTTCTTGATTATCTCCCCTTGTGAGGGGACTTGGCCCTTCATTTAAACAGTTTAAATTCCCCTTCACCCAAGAATGCTTTGTACCAAGTTTGTTAAAAATTGGCCCAGTGGTTCTTGAGAAGAAGTCGAAAATGTGAAAAGTTTACAGACGGACAGACAGACAGACCGACGGACGACGGACAAAATGTGATCAGAAAAGCTCACTTGAGCCTTCGGCTCAGGTGAGCTAAAAAGTGGAATGTCTTATCAAAGAGAATCTAGAACTCCAAACATGTCTTACACAAGTTTTCTCTTTAGTTGAGGTTTATAACATGGACCTACATGAAGGACCATCAGTGTTTATGTTAAAATTTCAACAAGTTCACTTTTTCTTTGAGGGAAGTCCAAATACTAGTCTCAAGGTTAATTTTCTTTTGTCCAACAGTGTTTTTGGAAAAAAGCATTCATTTGAAGGAACATTTACGGAGCTTAGCCTCTGTATTCATTAGATGTCATTCAACAATCAAAGGAAGAATTTACAATTTTATGTATGTCATGGTGATCGAATACTATTCATCAATTTTGGCATCCCTATAAACAGTATCCTGAAGTGTTTTGATATGGGTACATACTACATAGACAAAAAAAAGTTAACATGGAATACTTGTAGGGGTTAAAATACATATATAATAAAAAAAAAATTCTTCTGCCTTCTTTTTTTATGATCGCATTTTGCATTACTTTTTGAATGACCCTTGTATATATACTGTGACAAATTCACACAGATTTTTTGTGACTGCATATATTAATCCCATGTGGGGAAAAGTATGTGTACAAGTATATTTATTTCTATTAAAGGAGGAAAATTGCTGAAATCTCGGATTCACAAGAAAACAGGAGAAAGTCATTGGCAACAAGGATACAAGCAAAAACAAACATGAACCCTAGAGTGATTTTGAATGAGGAACTTCCAAAGATAGCTAGCCCATCTAAGTCAAGTAAGGCCGTGGCCTCGCCCGGGAAGTTAAGGAACCCCTGGCTGGAGGCGGAAGTGAATGACTTCTATCAGGGTGTACAAATCTTTGGTGTTGGAAACTGGAGTCAAATCAAGGATGCCATGAAAACCTCCCGAACTAACGTACAGCTGAAGGATAAGTGGCGAACAATTCTTAAAACAGGTGAAATTACAAGACTGGAGAAAGAATTTGGACACTTAAATTCAAGGAAGGGGAAAAAATAAGCTTGCAGATAGCAAGGATCCTTGATTGGTATCAAAATAATCAATATTTGTTGTGCAATTTGGAAGACTTTTACTGTTTCAGCAACTTTTATCTACCGTACGTAATTTTATCCTTATACATGTATTAAGATAAGAACAATTTTAATACTTCTTTTATTTCCACAATGGAGTTCACTGCATGTACATGTAAATGTCATCATATTGAACAGAAAAATCAATAAGATACAAGAAGAACTGTAAACATGAAAAGAGTAATATGAAAGATATTCATTTTGTTCAGATATAAGTACATGTGATTAAAACATTGAGAAAAAGTATCACCTGTTGTAAAATTTCATTTCAGTTAAGCACAATTATGAAAAAAAATGAAGTATGTTTAATCATAGGATAGCATTTTTTCTATTGCTATCCGTTTTTGTCCGTCTTGCGTCGTGCGTTAACATTTGAACATTTTCAGCTTCTTCTCTGAAACCATTGAACCAATTTCAACCAAATTTGGCATATAACATCTATGGGTGAAGTGGAACAAAAATTGTGAATTTCATGGTCCCTGCCCCCCTGGGGCCTGGGGGTGGGGCAAAAAGCACTAAAATTAGTGCAATCTTTAAAAATCTTCTTCTTTACTCCCAGACATCAAGCAGTCAAACTGTTGGTATGTTTGTAATCAGCAATGAGTCCTCTACAAAAATTGTGAAATTCATGGCCCCAGGGTCAGGGGTTCTGGTATTGATTATATAGTGAAAATGCATTATTTCTTTGAAAATCTTCTTCTCTGTTCCTAAGTATTAAATAAACTAATTAAGGACACAGTTATGGCGAGCAAGAGTGCCTCACCAAAATTGTAAATTTTATGGCCCCAGGGTCAGGGGTTCTGGTGTTAGGGCGGGGCTCTATTGATTATATAGTGAAAATGCATTAAATCTTTGTAAATCTTCTTCTCTTTTCCTGAGTATTTAATAAACTAATTAAGTAATAGTTATGGTGAGCAAGAATGCCTCTACCAAAATTGTGAATTTTATGGCCCCAGGGTCAGGGGTTCTGGTGTTAAGACAGGGCTCTATTGATTATAGAGTGAAAATGCATTAAATCTTTGAAAATCTTCTTCTCTGTTCCTGAGTATTAAATAAACTAAATTAGTATATAGTTATGATGAGCAAGAGTGCCTCTACCAAAATTTTGAATTTTATGGCCCCAGGGTCAGGGGTTCTGGTGTTAGGGCGGGGCTCTATTGATTATATAGTGAAAATGCATTATTTCTTTGAAAATCTTCTTCTCTGTTCCTGAGTGTTAAGGTTCATAAACCCTCTGCTCAGTCATATGAAATTCTTCTTTAACTTTTATGATTTTCCAAAGGAAATGTATATTCTGAATAAAATACAAACAATTATAGCGTGGCTTGCGGGGCAAAATTTGACAAAAAAGGCACTTAAACTTGACAAATTTATGAAGGAATAAAAGACATTTGTGTCATTAAGAGTTATCTCTCTTATCAGAATATCAATGTACCTTAAATAAACTAATTAAGTACATAGTTATGATGAGCAAGAGTGCCTCTACCAAAATTATGAATTTTATGGCCCCCGAGTCAGGGTTCTGGTGTTAGGGTGGGGCTCTATTAATTATATAGTGAAAATGCATTAAATCTTTGAAAATCTTCTTCTCTGCTCCTAGGTATTAAATAAACTAACTAAGTGCATAGTTATAATGAGCAAGAGTGCTTCTACCAAAATTGTGAATTTTATGGCCCCAGGGTCAGGGGTTCTGGTGTTAAGACAGGGCTCTATTGATTATACAGTGAAAATGCATTTATTCTTTGAAAAGCTTCTTCTCCACTCCTAGGTATTAAATAAACTAATTAAGGACATAGTTATGATTAGTAAGAATGCATCTACCAAAATTTTGAATTTTATGGCCCCAGAGTCGGGATTATGGTGTTAGGGTGTGGCTCTATCATGATTATATGGTGATAATACATTACATCTATGAAAATCTTTTTCTCTACTCCTGGGTAATAAGCAGATGAACTATTTATATAGTTATGATGTGCAAGGGCTCTTCTTTTCAGAATTGTAAATTTCAAGGCCACTGGGTCAGGGATACTAAAGACGGGGGGGGGGGGGGGGGGGGGGGGGGCTCTTATTCTATATACTGAAAGTGAATTGTTTGAAATCTGCTCCTTGGTGTTAATTGAACATTTTTGATAAGCAAGTGTGCCTTTTCAAAAATTATGCAATGTGTAGACCTAGGGTCAGGGGTTCATGTGTGGTAAGGGAACTCCTGATTATTGCTGAATATTACTGATTAGTTGACATGCTTATGGGTATTAAGTAAACAAGTAAACAATCTAAGCAATTGCTAAGTGTATAGTTATACCCCCCGCAAACGAAGTTTAGGGGGGGTATATTGGAATCACCATGTCCGTCTGTCCGTCTGTCTGTCTGTCCGTCTGTCTGTAGACGAGATTTTTGTCCGGACCATTACTCAGAAACTATTGGAAGGATTTGTCTGAAAATTTGTACACATATTATTCACCAAATGAAGTTGTGCACCTGATATTTTTCGTCTTGATTGGATTATTATTTTGAATTTTACAGGTGTTTTTTCATTTTTATTTTGTGGTTTTGTCTGGACCTTTTCTCAGAAACTATTGCAAGGATTAATCTGAAAATTTGTACTTTTATTATTCACCATATGAAGGTGTGCAAATGGAATTTTCAACTCTTTTTGTTCATTTTTCTGCATTTTACAGGTTTTTTAAAATTTTAATTGACTTGTTCATTTTGGGCTCATGTTTAAGGTTTGAGACATAGAATCTAGAATATCTGTACAAAAACGTGAACTACAGCTTAAAACTACTCATAAAAACTTAAAAAAGAAACATCATCAAGTGTTAAAAACAGTTTTTACATTGCACAGAAGATAATGTAATTTCATTTGTCTCTTGGGAATAATGACTGGACATGCATCCAGTTAAAGATAAATTAATGAGTTTGGTGTTGGATTTTAGTTGTTTAGGCATATCTCTTATCAAGCGTTTGTGTGTTATCAAATCTACAGGGAATAAGGCACAAGAATTAAAGATCTCTCTTCTCTTATTCTCTTAATTGTAATTTATTGTCTGTCAAAACACTTCATTACTGGATGACCAGCTCTTTATTTTCAAAATGCATTTCAAATTGATATATCAAGATAATAATTTGATATTGTATAATGTTTTTTTTTTTTCAACAATCAGTTTGCAGAGTGACATAACACATAATTGCAATATATTTTTTTAATGCAGTAATAAAAAAAAATAAAATAAAAAAAAAAAAATCTTACAATGGAATTACAATGTATTAGTATTGATGTTTCATTTGGTTGCACCTCCGTTTCATTCATTAAGAAACATGATGAGCAATTATATTTCACTGCAAATTTTTGTAAGTAAATTAGGAACATCTCTAGTTTTTATTTTGTGGTTTTGTCTGGGCCGTTTCTCAGAAACTATTGCAAGGATTAATCTGAAAATTTGTACACTTATTATTCACCACTTGAAGGTGTGCAACTGGAATTTTCAACTCTTTTGGTTCATTTTTTTGCATTTTACAGGTTTTATTTTTTATTTTAATTCACTTGTTCATTTTGGGCTCATGTTTAAGGTTTGAGATATAGAATCTAGAATATCAGTACAAAAATACTACAGCTTAAAACTACTCATATAAACTTAAAAAAAAAGAAACATCATCAAGTGTTAAAAACAGTTTTTACATTGCACAGAAGATAATGTATTTTCATTTTTCTCTTGGGAATAATGACTGGACATGCATCCAGTTAAAGATAAATTAATGAGTTTGGTGTGGGAAGTTGAACATTAAGGAATCTCATTATCAACCACGTGTAATCTCCTGGGAATCAGGCACAAGAATTTTAAGATCTCTCTTCTCTTATTCTCTTAATTGTAATTTATTGTCTGTCAAAGCACTTCATTACTGAATGACCAGCTTTTTATTTTCAAATGAATTTGATATAAAGTTATCAAGTGATTTTGTATGATAAAATTTTTTTCAACAATCAGTTTGCAGGGTGACATAACGCGTAATTGCAATATATTTTTTTAATGCAAAAATAAAATAAATAAATAAATAAAAAAAAAAAAATGTTACAGGGGAATTACAATGTATTAGCATTGATGTTTCATTTGGTTGCACCTTTGTTTCATTCATTAAGAAACATCATGAGCAATTATATTTCACTGCGAATTTTTGTAAATACCTGGTAAATTGTGAACACCTCTAGATCCATAAAGTATTTTTGAATTGGCACCTTCTCTGAAAAACCCAGCGGGGGGTATTTGTCCCTATTGGACAGTTCTAGTTATGATAATCAATGGTGCCTCTTTCAAAAAAATGAATGCCATAGCATCTGGCTTAAAACATGAACCAAATTCAATCATTTGAAAGTTGTTGCATGATGCTCAGGTGACCTATAAGGCCCATGGGCCTCTTGTTGGGAATGCAATGCTGTACATATGATGGTGAATTAAATTGCATGCCATCTGACAAGATGTATTCTTTGTAAATTATTTCAATAGACAGTCAAGTCACACCACAAAAACTTGTATCACCATGTTTAGTAATTACTAGTTATTTCCCTCACACGTGTCAATAAAAGTTATGACAGAAAGACTTGCAATGGTACAGGATCATTTGTATACCGTAATCACTGGAATGATCTTGAGATGGGTCTCCATGTCAGATCTCAGTATGGTTCAGTGTACACCAGTGTTACACAGTGTAATGGGACATCCTTGATAAATATAACTGGTCGAAATATTTCTTGTAATTCTAGAGATGAGTCAAGATACCTTTTTTATATCAGCATAAAGATTCCGTTGATTCCCCCCCCCCCCCCCCCCCCCCCCGGCTTTTCAAATAAAGAAAAAAAAAGTGTTTATTGGTATATTTTAAATCCATTTTATTTTTCACATTTGATGTGATGAATGGTACATAATTATGTTCTATGAGAAAAGATTTAGAGAAAAAAAAGGTCATCTATTTGTGTGGATACAGGAATTATATAGGATACTAGGACTCTGGCTCCTTCATATATTCTGGAACAGCAATTTAAGGAAATGTTTGGTAAATAAACAGAAAAATATAGAACCATTTTTATCACAGAAAATAAACTTAAGATTGGTTTCTTCATACTAGATGGTTATCCACATAATAATTAATGCACAATAGCTGCCATTAATTTGCACATAAATAAAAAAGAAAAGCACTAATCTATTAAAAAACAAAACAATTTACCGGTACAGTATAAAGAATGCAGCATGTCTTAAGTATGTTCCCAATGAACTGTTGTTACAGTAATGCATGACTATTGGTACTAATGTCAAGGTCATGTAATATATTAGTAGGACTATAACAGCTGTATCATCAGACTACCACTCCCCCTCCACTATCTCTGGTTCCTCCATGGTGTAGTCCTGGTCCAAGTAAACAGGAGTCGAGAAGGTCCTATCCTCCACCAACTTCTTCAGACCCTAAAACATCCACAAATATTAAAGTTTAGTAATTTTCCCCCAGCATTACCAGAGGCACAAACCAAAATATATGAAGCTAGTGAGCCACATTAACTGAGTGTGTTACACTGTACACTTACCTCTCCAGCATAGGACACAAGAGGTGAAATCTCACACTCTACAACTACATCCTGGTCCTCTCTCTTACTGTAAATTAGGAAATTAAAATTAAAATTAAATCTAATTCTTGAAAATGAAAAATACTGTTAGTCTTTCAAACCAATATGAAATTTACAAAATATAGTTCACATATAAATGCTATATAAAGACAATATTAAAAAATATGAATACAAAGATGTAAAATGTAAATGTGTAAAACATTAGTATCCAGAGTAAAATGAATCTTCCATGCAGTTTCAAATTCAATTGGTAACAACATAAAATCTCAAAATTTTACAATAACATGTACTACAAACTCATGTGTAAATAAATGCAAGATTTAAACAACTACTGTCAAAGTATACCAGAAAATGTTCACCCCATGTTATGTCAGTGCTTCTGCTTTAAACAAATTTCTCCACAATTTTAATTCTCACTTTTCTGAAAGTAGCTCCTTTTTAAATCTGCTTATCGAGAATGAAGATATAATGAGAGAAAAATAAATTTGGGGCAAACATTTTCAGGATATATAGAATACAAACCAATCTCCGCCACCGATATCTTCCTTTTCTGAGCTGTTAACAAACAATGAATGAATGAGAGTGATGCACACAAAGCCCAGGAAGTAAGATCCCAAATGAGATGTTTTCTATACACTAAATGATATGGAGAAAGAACGCATAGAATGAAGGAATAATAGACATGTAGTCCTATAGACTACTTGTAAAATAATTTTTCTGCATGAGTTGAACTTCTCAATTTAATGGAAGTATATAAAAAATATAACAAGAGTAATGCACTTACTAAAGGGAAAGCATTCCAGTACAAATCTGAAGGATCACATTGATTGCACAAATTTTATATATTGTTAGTGCCCTTGTATTTAGTGGGTAATTGCTATTTAATAGATAATAAAAAATGGATCTTTTCAACACATCTACCGGTACATGCTTACCATTATTGCCTGACGTCACGGCGTCAGGCACTACTAAGGATCAATATTTCCTATGTGCGAAGCTAAGAGGTCACAGTTAGCCAGCAAAATTTTGTGCATGCTGATTATCATCGGATTTTGTGACATGCGTTTCAGCAATTACAGTTAGCAGACAAATAACCATATATTGCTGATACAATACATTGATGTATTTATTTCCTTTAGCTCTTTGCTAGCAGCTATTTATTTTATGCGAGTTCTTATACGGACATGTCCGTTTGACCTTTTTTCTGCGTTTCTATACTACTGGATTAGTCCATTTGTCTTCTATGTAAGGGGTGACACAATCATTTCACGCCAAAATGTCACGTGTAAATTTTTGCACTCTTTTCCTGGACTATTCTATTGAATGGAAATGAAAACTGCATGAATGATTTAAAGTATGTTCTTTTTTGACGGAATCATGGTCGAGCTTTGGAAAAAAAACATTTCAGTGATATTGTGAAGTGAGTTAGAAGTTAAATCATTTAAAGTACTAAAAACGAAACGAACAAAAACCTCTCAAGGGGGCCGACTATAGTTTCCATTGTGCAATATTTCGCGCATCATAGTAAAATGAAGCATATTTACGGTTTTAATGCAACTTTTTTCGCTTAATTATTAAAATTAAACAAAATTAAGAAAATATAGGTATAAAAACGTAATTACAGTTTGATATCACTGATTTTTTAACTGATTTTGCAACTGATAGGTAGGTTGTCATCGTTGCAGTGTGCTTTTGACGTTATGATAATCTGTAGCTCTTAAAGAAAGGGGTAATAAAAATATTATTAAAGAAAAAGTAATTAACATACTCTCTTGAAATTTAAAACATAGAAATTTGAGAATATCTCCAATATTTTTATTATGTTTTCATGTGAATCCATTGTGTGCGTCTTATTTTGTAAAACTCTATAAAAATAGTAAAATTTGCTAATTTTTTGCATTTTGAGATGCCCCCCTCTGGTAACAAGACGGTAGAATTTTGTGTTTCTTACATATATTTTATAATAGAGTATTGCTCATCAAATATTATAGTTTGAACAAAATGCCTACTAGTAATTGTATAATTTGCTTTAAAGTGCTAAAAATTGGCATTTTCCTAGATAATTCTATAGTAAATGTACCTGTATTTTGAGACGGTCCCTCAAAAATACCTGGATGGCAGATTTCCCCCAAACTTTGCATATACACTGAAGTTAATGTAAGTTATATATAGTATAACCAGAAGTCTCTGTCGAGACTGAAGCTCTACTGGTTTGAACTTATAGCAAAGGAAGAGAAGAGTACTTAAGCAGCTGGGATTTGAAACTTTACAACAGCAATATATAGAATAATGATCGTTGATAAAGTCTCTTTATGTTCTTAGTGTAGTCTACTTGTGTGCCAAGTTATATTGAAATCAGACCAAAACTGTAGGAGGAGTAGCATTTTGAAACAATTTTACAGACATTTCAATTTTTAGTAACCACGGCAACACAGTTCATCAAAATTAAAATTTGATACACAGAATTATGTATCTTAGTGTATTCTACTTGTGTGCCAAGTTATATTGAAATCAGACCAAAACTGTAGGAGGAGTAGCATTTTGAAACAATTTTACAGATATTTCTATTTTTAGTAACCACGGCAACACGTTCATCTAAATCAAAAACCGATACACAGATTTATGTATCTTAGTGTATTCTACTTGTGTGCCAAATTATACTGAAATTTCTATTTTTAGTAACCACGGCAACACCGTTCATTGAAATCAAAAACGGATAAACAGAATTATGTATCTTAGTGTATTCTACTTGTGTGCCAAGTTATACTGAAATCAGACCAAAACTGTAGGAGGAGTAGCATTTTGAAACAATTTCACAGAAATTTCTATTTTTAGTAACTACGGCAACACCGTTCATCGAAATCAAAAACCGATATACAGAATTATGTATCTTAGTGTAGTCTACTTGTGTGCCAAGTTATACTGAAATCAGACCAAAACTGTAGGAGGAGTAGCATTTTGAAACAATTTCACAGAAATTTCTATTTTTAGTAACCATGGCAACACCGTTCATCAAAATCAAAAACCGATACACAGAATTATGTATCTTAGTGTAGTCTACTTGTGTGCCAAGTTATACTGAAATCAGACTAAAACTGTAGGAGGAGTAGCATTTTGAAAGAATTTCACAGAAATTTCTATTTTTAGTAACCACGGTAACACCGTTCATCGATACACAGAATTATGTATCTTAGTGTAGTCTACTTGTGTGCCAAGTTATATTGAAATTAGACCAAAACTGTAGGAGGAGTAGCATTTTGAAAAATTGTTTACAGACAGACGGACAGACAGACAGACAGACGGACAGACGGACGGACGCCGGACGCATTACTATCGCATAAGCTCTTCTGGTCTCTGACCAGTAGAGCTAAAAATGTAGTTTCGCTATTGTAGTTTTCACACAATAAAACTATAGTCGGCCCCTTAAGAATATGCTTTGATGCTCTGGCATACCCAAGAAACTATTAAACATATTCTGCATGTCAGTCATAACCGTTACGATTCCCAATTTCTTGTAGTTATATTTTCAGCTGTCTTCCTCAAAGCCTATGCTGTATGCAGTTGAATGTAATTTATGTAACCTTTACGTATAGCCATGCTTTCCAGCATTAATCAATTACATTAGTTTTTTTTCCTTTATTTACTTCATCCTCTAAAACCATTTTTTGACTCGCGGAGTGAGTTATTCATCATTACGTCGCGGGTTCGAATCTACAGCGGGACATGTACATAATTTCATATTTTTATCTGAGATACAAACAATATAAACGATTTATATAAAATGTGCTCTTTTTCCATTGCTCTAAATGAGTATCATAAAACTTAAAATGAATGCATGATGTTTTGTGCAACATCATAATTTACTCTAGTGAAACAATTTAACCTACCTCCCCCAATGTAAACGTGTATAACTTATCATGCTTATGGGTTCTATAAATATTGATTAGTCAGGCAAGCTTTTTGAAAAGCTGTTACTTGTATACATGTATTATGAATTGCATACTACGCGTAGTAGTAAAAATAGACCAGTGAAGGAATTCAAAAAATTAAGTTTTAAATGTGTTACTTTGATATTGTTTTGCACTACATAACAAAGAATTTACATCTTTTTTTCTTCATGCAAAATAATTAAGAAATGCTTTATATAATACTGATCAAATGATTCTCCAAGTTTGTCCATATAACAGTTATTATAATATTAGCATGTAAGCAATTTACAAGTTCTACATATTTAAGGATGCTGGTTTCAAATGATGGATTCAATGAATCATATCCCCTTGACAAAAAGCAAGCTATATTGACATGATTAATTATAATTAGTAATCTAATTGTATCTGATTATATAAATCTACTATTTGGAAAATGCAGAAAGTTTCTAAATACATGTTTGTAAACTTTTGAATATATGTGAGAAATGAAGGCAGTGTTATAACTAAAATCAATATGCTTAAGCATGTCAAAATAAATATTCTCTAAAAAAAAAAAACCAGAAGTCTCTGTCGAGACTGTAGCTCTACTGGTTTGTACTTATCAAAAACCATTGCACTATTTTATGTATCTTTGTGTAGTCGACTTGTGTGCCAACTTATTTTGAAATCAAACTAAAACTGTAGAAGGAGTAGCGTTTTAAAGGAATTTCACAGAAAATTCTATTTTTAGTAACCATGGCAACACCGTTCATCGAAATCAAAAACCGATGCACTATTCTATGTATCTTAGTGTAGTCTACTTGTGTGCCAAGTTATATTGAAATCAGACTAAAACTGTAGAAGGAGTAGCGTTTTAAAGGAATTTCACAGAAAATTCTATTTTTAGTAACCATGGTAACACCGTTCATCAAAATCGAAAACCAATGCACTATTTTATGTATCTTAGTGTAGTCTACTTGTGTGCCAAGTTATATTGAAATCAGACCAAAACTGTAGAAGGAGTAGCGTTTTAAAGGAATTTCACAGAAAATTCTATTTTTAGTAACCATGGTAACACTGTTCATCGAAATTAAAAACTGATGCACTATTCTATGTATCTTAATGTAGTGTACTTGTGTGAAAAGTTATATTGAAATCAGACCAAAACTGTAGAAGGAGTAGTGTTTTAAAGGAATTTCACAGAAAATTCTATTTTTAGTAACCATGGTAACACCGTTCATCAAAATCAAAAACTGATGCACTATCCTATGTATCTTAGTGTAGTCTACTTGTGTGCCAAGTTATATTGAAATCAGACCAAAACTGTAGAAGGAGTAGCGTTTTAAAGGAATTTCACAGAAAATTCTATTTTTAGTAACCATGGCAACACCATTCATTGAAATTAAAAGCCGATGCACTATTCCATGTACCTTAGTGTAGTCTACTTGTGTGCCAAGTTATATTGAAATCAGACCAAAACTGTAGAAGGAGTAGCGTTTTTAAAGAATTTCACAGAAAATTATATTTTTAGTAACCATGGCAACACCGTTCATCGAAATCAAAAACTGATGCACTATTCTATGTATCTTAGTGTAGTCTACTTGTGTGCCAAGTCATATTGAAATCAGACCAAAACTGTAGAAGGAGTAGCATTTTAAAGGAATTTCACAGAAAATTCTATTTTTAGTAACCATGGCAACACCGTTCATCGAAATTAAAAACCGATGCACTATTCCATGTACCTTAGTGTAGTCTACTTGTGTGCCAAGTTATATTGAAATCAGACAAAAACTGTAGAAGGAGTAGCGTTTTTAAAGAATTTCACAGAAAATTCTATTTTTAGTAACCATGGCAACACCGTTCATCGAAATCAAAAACCAATGCACTATTCTATGTATCTTAGTGTAGTCTACTTGTGTGCCAAGTTATATTGAAATCAGACCAAAACTGCAGGAGGAGTAGCGCTCTGAAAAATTGTTTACAGACAGAAGGACAGCTAGACAGCTAGACAGACGGACGGACGCCGGACGCATTACTATCGCATAAGCTCTTCTGGTCTCTGACCAGTAGAGCTAAAAAAGAAGATAAATGTAACCTACTTCATACAAATCTTTGATACATGTGTTATTTACCTAGGGGGGAGAACTTTCCCATCTTTGTCCACAAATTGTGCCCCGGCGGCTAACAAGTACCGGTGATGGAGATTCAATAGAGCGCGACGACAGGTAGTGGGCGTGTCCTTATCAGCGGTGTCAGCGTTCTTCAGGGGAGCGAACTCATCCTCTCGGATAACCTCCCAAACAGCAAAACTCCTGTCACATTGAAAGAAGAACCACAAACAAAACAAGGGAAACAACCATGCATTGAGGGAGATAGGGAACATAGCACAACAAGTTAAACAAATATATAAAGGATGGCAATTTTGCAGGACAGGTTGATATGTAGAGGATTTTTTCATAATTCATGCCAAAATTTCAAGGAACATATATTATATCATGCATCATGAAACAAAATGCAATGTTAGTAATAACATTTGATTTGAAAATATACATACCGAAAGAGATCAACAAAATGTTGGGAGAAAAAAATTACAGAGCATATATTAGCGCTAAGTCTAATGTTCATTGTTACAATCTTATGTAAACATTGAACTCTATATCTACTGGATACGCCATTAAAATGCTTACATACCTTACATAGAACAAAACCTGACTATTCTATTCTGCATGTTATGTGTATTATAAATAATAATATCTAAACGTTAATTGTTTCATATTTAAATGATTATTATTAGCTGAATAAATCATTGAAACTATGTGCATAATATAATAATAAAAATAAATTTGGTATTATAAATTATTATGTATTGTAAATAGATTATGTAAAGAAAAATCCATAGTCCTTTCTCCAAAATTTAAGTCATATGATACTGAATACTGTTATACCTAGAAATCTTTTTTAATACTTACGTTGCAAAGTGAAAAACATCAAAGACAAATTTCTCCATTTTAATGCCATTAGGTGTGTCTGGTTTAATAGTAACTTTACTGTCTTTGTCACTAACATGTGGAATTTTCTTTTTGGCAACATGATGCTTCATTTGTTTTTCTTGTGCTGGCCTTTGAAAAAAAAAAAAAACCCAGATAATCAAATGATACAATATTATAGCAAAGATCCATGGGACATAATACTCTCCTGGTTAACATTCCTCTTAAATCTGCTCTTTGCACAAAACCCATCAATGAAGTTTATAAAGAAATGACCTTGGTCTCTTGACCAAGGATGAGATTCCAGTGTTTCTCCATAACAAAGATAAAGAGTAGCCCAGACAAGATTGCTTAAACAGACAGTCAAGGTGAATCCTGTGTACAACTCCCCCTTCCAAACTGGAGGGATTTATTAAAATCGTACATACCAACCTTATTTTTATAATAATGTTATAGTGAGCATATATTTTCTTAGGCTTCAGTTTTTTTTTTTTCGTTTGAAATACAAACACTTTTTTTTTTAGTTCTTTTCAACTTTCAATAGAAGAGAAAATCTGTGAGATACTTATTCTTACTCAGACACAAATTTCAGTAAGTCCAGAGTGAAGAAATGGTTACAAATGTTGCCTGCATTAAACACTAGTCTACCATTGGAGTCTCGTTTTTCTGCAGTTTTCTGTGTAATCTCACTGTATTCCACTACTTGATATTTTCCCTCTACTTTACACACAACCCCTACTGGCTCTGTGGGAAAGGTTTTTTCTACAACCTGAAAGAGTTTGCAGTATATAATTAATTTTTAAAGTGTACAATGTTATAAAAAAAAAATCAAGTAATTGAAGTTGCCTCCCTTTGACCATACAGAAATTCTGTAACTAATCTGATTCAAATGACAAGTTGTTCTCTACAGGGCTCAGAAGAAATTTTACCTGTTTAGGACCATCAATTAGACAACCAAAAAAACATACTTGTAAATAAAAGGGTTTTGATATTGAAACAAAAGAAAGAAAAATACCCTACCAAAAAACATTCTAAATGATTGTGATGTTTTTTTCTTTTTCAAATCTCCTTCAAGACTTTTCAAATATTAGTTTGAGCAGTCCTTGGAGAAAAGTTTTGGTAAGATAATGAAGTGATTTTTAACTAATTCACTTTTTCATTTGGTTCATTCATAACAGGTATGAAATATTAACCATAAATTTTTCAAAAATGTAGGCATATCCTTTGAATTAAATTTAGAAATTTTCAGGAAAATGTATACACTTCTTCACAACATAGTTACAAATCATATACAAATAAGAGTCTTGGTTTTGACAGATTCTTAAAGCACTGTTTTAGTGTTTTACTTTTAGAAGAATCAAATCTTATTATAACTAATCTATTCACTATATCCGTTGTCTTGGAGACATGAACGTACCTTTGCCCCACAGGTAGCTCCCTTGCTTAAACAGAATCCTATAAAAATTGGGTCGGCCATTTTGACCAGGATGTTGTCCACACAGTAGACATGGATGTACTTGATGCCCCGTTTTTCCATGTCCTTCAAGACTCCACTGTGATTCAGTGCTCTGTACAAACCTCCATTACCATCTGTCAAAAACAAGCAGGCTCAAAATGGTATATATAAATAAAAATACATTCAGATTCTTGCCTAATATCATAGATAAAGCATGAGTACTATTTAACATGTCTTCATACTTATGCAGGGTTCGACACTAACATTTTTAGACTTTGGTCTGGCCGGACTAGTGCTTCTTTACTTTTACTAGTCCGCGGCCGATTTTATGAGTCCGTAAAAAAAATATCAATAATAAATAGAACTAGATGCGATCTCGTTGCGAGCAACGAGGTTTTGGAATTTTCGATAAGATGAGATATGACTTTGACTATGATCTTTGATAAAACATCATGGAATCATGCCTTTTCTCTTTTGATTAAATCCTTTTGATTTAGATAATATCATCAATGCGTACTTAATTAGCACATTAATTCTTTTCTTTTTTCTATAGAAACAACCAAAACCAATTAAAGAAGACTTGTAAGGAGACCTTGGATTATGAATGTAGTTTGACAAAATTGCATAGACATGACAATCCATCCACATTTCATTGCTCCTTATGATACTTTCGTTCAAATTTATTGCGAAATTTTCAGGAGAAATATCTCGTTTGAATTTATAAATTTACAAACGAATTATATATTCAGCCTAATAAGAAATGTTTCTATCAACTATACTAATATAATTTGAAAATATTGAAAAACAAAAAAGTTAAAGACGAGAGAGTCATTTACTTGATATCAAATGAAAGGTCTTACTATATTGCACATTTTTTGTTATATATGTCTTAACAAAATATTAACAGGTAAAAAGATATAAAAAGAAAACGTGTCAATTTTTGCGAGATGAGTATGAGGCTATTTTTCGAGAACAGGTGAGCATCGATGCCTTCTTACCTGAAAAGCTCTATATGCAAAATGTCACATCTACTATCCTTCCTCTACCTTCACTGAAAATCTCAAGTCGATATCTTAAGTCGTTTAGGAGGAGATCATGAAGCTGACCCTCTAAAAATCAGTAAATCGTCCATATCTCACGACCGGAAGTGACGACGTACTAAAATTTCCGACAAGGTTCAGATAAATATCTATCAGATCTGAAAATTTGGTGACAGTAGACATTTCTGATCGTGTGCACAAAATCGGTAAGAAAAATAATAATAATAGAGAAAAAGAAACCGAACGAAAACAATAAGGTCTTCCGTTGGAGACGGAAGACCTTAATAAACATTTCAATGTACTTTTTTAAATTTATTTGAAATAAACAAAGCATTTGCATGAAATGTTTTATATCAAGATTCTCGTGCGATTACCATTGTATTTCAAATACATGATTACATCGTCAAACGTCCGATTTTTCTTTATGTGTCATATAAAATTATTGCTAAAATGTTTTATTTTATACCAATGATTCCTAAAATTAAGCACCGAATTGACTCAGAATTACCTAACTTCCCGCTAAGAAGCTAGAAAGCTAAAAATACATACCGGGTTTTCCAGTGAAGTTGTCAATTGAACATCAGTAAATTCTTTGTTTTTTCCAGAAAACTTTAACATTGTTTTATTAGTCCGATGTGTATTAGTCAGAGACTAACGGACTTTATGTATGCTTTGTATTTCAACAACTTCACTCCTATGAGAAATTGTGAATTTTACCTTCAAATTAATTCAATACAAATTAAAGATATATGTATATCCAAAAAAATCCACAACTTAGTGTGTTTCCATGTTCTGCAGATATCTCCACCACAGACCCCTTGATATTCCAAAGGTGGGATCAGGTGCCTCGGGGGAGTATGCATCCCCCATTGATCAGTTACACCAACAAAATATCAATGCTTAATTGCATGTTTTTTTTATCTATCTGTAAACATATGAATCTCTGTCTTACCTGGAGCTAAAGCCACTTTGTGTGGTTTCTCTAAAATAATTTTTCCATCAAATCCTATGCATGGGAGGAGGTTTTGTTCAAAGAGGACAACATCTTCTTCCTCTAAACCAAAGTAATTATTCTTCTTGAAGAAATCAAGGGTGGCATTCTTTGTGTGCTCACTTGTCATGATGTACCTAATAATAAAGAACAAGTTTTACTGTGTTCTGTATTCAGAATTGATAAATCTGATCAAACTTTTATCCCTTAAGGTGGACCCACCTTCAATCAAAACACTTTGGGATGTGCATATCTCTGGTAACTTTTTCATTTTTTAAAAATTTGTTAATCTTTTCTAGCTTAGAAGAAAGTTTTGTTGAGTATGTACGATCTGATCCTATGTTTGGCTTTTCTTTCATTATAATCCCCTTGGAAATGATCTTGACACTTCAATTAAACAAATCAAAAAAAAAAAATCCCTTTACCCAAGAATGATTTGTACCAACTTAAGTTAAAATGGGCTACTTGATTTGTGAGAAAACAGTGTCTGAAATTCACCTAAAGTCAAATTCTATATAAATGCTCTCTTTTCAGCATGGTCAATATTTCCATACCAATTTGTCTGCAAGTCTGTAAACTTGGCAATTTTATTTCATGCAAATTTTTATGTGAAGTTTGAGGAAATTTTCAATAATTGTTGCTTTAAATTCCTAGCCAATAACAAAAGTCAAAATTGTGATTTTTTTTTTTTTTTTACATAAAAAGACAGACATCTAGACAGATAAATGAAGAAATCCAAAGGGTGAACATAAAAGCTCAGTTGAGCTTTCAGCTCAGGTGATCTTAACTAATGTGTCCCCAAATCTCTGATTACCAAGCCATAAAAATGAAGTGCTACCTGCATTACTGTAAAAATGTATAATTGTTTATCATGACCAATGATTGGACTCTCACCATGGTATTTTACAGCTGTTTCCTGTAACTTTTTCCCCCAGCCTCTGTAGCTTTAGCAGCCTCTCTGCCTGTATTTGGTACAGGGTCTTCCCTGAGGGCAGTCCTACATTGTACATTCCTTTAGGGTAGGGCACTCCTAGCCGGGTACCTTGTCCCCCCGCTAACAGGATGACGGCCACACGACTCTCTCCAATCTCTGTCAGACCTAGTCAACAGAAAATCTCAATTTTATTATTATGTTAAAATCTATGCAAATTTTATTCTGCAATTCTAATATTTCAACAGCTTTTATTCATGGAAGAAGCTCCATGGGAACTTTTTTGGTTCTGGGTGGGGTGGGGGTGGGGCGATTCCATGGGCAGGGAATCTGGTACAACAGGTGCAATTTCTGCTTATACAAAAACATTTTTAGTAATTCAATGCTCATTTTTAATCATATTTATCTGATTAATAATCACTGTAATATGTATCCACTTTAAACGATAAACATAATGTAGTGCTAGTTTTGTATATTTTTCACAATCTTTTGTCCATGTCTTGTTTCAGCTTGCAACATCAAATAGTTAACAAAACCCTCAAAATTATTGCAGCTTTAAACACTTGTACATCAGTTTCTTTAGTGGATATAGTTTGTCTGAGGAGCAGTAAATTTACCTATCATGTAATAAGATGTCAACTGAAGACCTGACCAGTGTAATGTTCCTTGATAACCTTATTTACATACAACCACCCACTATATGTACATAAAGCTGGACAGTAAATCTGTCCTAAGGTAAATAAACTAACTACATGACATGTCTAGTCCCGAGATTTCATTCTGCGAAATAAGAAAATTAACATCTAGAGTACAAAGCATTGGTCTGTCACTTGTCCATGGCTAGTACTGCTAGAACTTAAAATTTAATATTTTCACTTGTTATTAATTAATAGGTGTTGTCACTCTGATCTCAACTTTCACAGCAGTTCAGACAGGCACAGTCAGAAAATTAAACATTTTATCCCCGTTAGCAACCTTTTGATCTTCTCTCTCACTCTGAGGTAAATAGAAAAACTCTCCCATCCTTGTAAAGTAAAAGTTGTGTTATTTAACTTTAAATCTTCACTACATTGGAATTGGTTAAATGATGTGGCTGACAATTAAAACATGAAGTTTGGTGTTCTCAGTCCCACCCATCAGTATCACTTATTACTCAATCAATTTCTCTTTAGTACCAGTACTTTGATTTAAAAAAGAAAATTGTGCAGACTGCATATTAAATTTTTAATCATAAATTTTGAAAAATATCTAATTCATATAACGTTATTAATAAGTAAAAAAATGTGCTCCAGGTACTAGACATTTTTAGAAAACACTTACCAGTATTAAAAATTAGTCACAATCACACCATACTCTTAAAATAAGCTTAATTTATTCATTTTTTCCATAAACTAAATACTAATAGGTCAACAAACTATAAACATAATCATTATCCAAATATGATGTCTTCATTTGTAATACTTTATATGATTACAATTTCATATTTTGTTGAACTAAAAGTATATTTTTAAATAGTACTTTAAATTTCCTAAATTTTTTTTAATTCATCATGAAAGTACATGAGAACAAGAGAATGCATGGGACATTGAGTTCGGACAATCTATCCAATCTTAAAATGAGAGAAAATATTTCAGTTAATTGTTCACATCTACCCAGGCAGAACAGTCAAAAATTCTAAAGTGGAACAAGGAAGAGGTTTTGAACCATTTAAAAGACAGAGGTCTTATCAGCTGACTCAGCAAGCAGTGCAATATATTGCACCTATAGGGTGACATATATATGTATTGAATTTCTTTGTCATACGGTGGACTAGGAAGTACAATTGCAATCTGTTATCAACTCTTTTTATTGATCAGATATATATAATCTATCAAAACTTTAGAGGAAAAGATATGAATTGAGAACTACTGTGACCTATATAGAGTTAAAAAAGATTTTACATTAATAAATAATAATATGCCTTGGCATTAAAAACTGTTTTTATTATTTCCACCATCAATACTGACACCCCTCTCACCCCAACAAATACATATATTAGTCTTTTGCAATCTTTTCCAGAGATTTATCAGGTAAGTCTCTCTAATATCATGAGTTTTACAACCAACATTTGATGAAAAAAAAAATCTTTAAATTTACAAATAAATGTTGCTGGTGAAAATGAGAAATATACCATTAGAATTTTTCCAGTAAATCTACACTGTACATGCTGTACATGTAAAGATCTGTCCTTACCATCAATGTCATATTGCAGGAGATCTGCCTCACTTGTTTCAACTACCCCTCCCCAGACCTCTTTAGGTAAGGGTTCCAGCAGATCATCAAGTTTCTCTGAGGCTGAGTTCAGATCCTCCATGGCTGCCTTAAAGAATCCATTTATTTCTTTAAAGTCTAGATGACTCAGTTCAGCATAGAGTTGCTGTTTTTCTTCATCAGAGAGTTGATCCCAATACTTCAGGAGATGTTCTTGATTTGCTTCTGCCAGACGTGCCTTTAAACCTTCTATATCCATCTTCACTTAAAAAATTTGTTTCACTGCAAAAATATTTAATAAAGCAATTTTTAAAAAATCAGCAGACAGTAAAGCTCAGATGAAGAGATCGTGATCATATCCAAAAAAAAAAAATACAATGTACAAGCAGTAATACTAATCACATGGAAGTGAATCAGATGTCAATGAACTTTGATTGGAAAGCAGTTGAATGTTTTATTTGCCTGTGATATATGCTGTATAATCTTTTTTGTTTGTTTGTTTGCTTTATGTCGATTTGAAGGATATTTCACTTGATATTATATATTGGGATGCCACTAATTGCTGGAGGAAGGCTGTAAATTTACATCTATAATTATATCAGGCCATTAAGCAATGAGGGATTTTCAAGCCAGCATGACCATCTACAGAACAACACAAGACCTCAGGATTAGTATGCAGTCTCATTTTGTCTCCTTAGATTTGAATATGCAGTAATCAACTCGATCCTTACTCTGCAATTCTACAAAGGGACACCTTGCAACAGTCCATATGCACATGATGAAAGTTAGTATTAATTACACAATCAATAATTTAATTAATTCATCAATTGTCAATTAATCTGTCTTTCATTTTCATGGCTTACCATCTACCATCTTAAAAAAGAAATGCAATACTTTCATACTCATTTCATCATGCCACTGCACTGTTTGAAGACATACAGTGGACCTTCAGATATTCGGACGCCAGATATCCGGATGCTTCAGTATCCGGACGATTTTTCATCGGAACGGAATTTTTTAATGTTATTTTGTCTTGTTTAACTGGTAATTCAGATATCCGGACGCTTCACATATCCGGACAAATTAACTAGGAACCAAAGCGTCCGGATAAATGAGGCCCCACTGTATATGCCTAATCATAGTAACAAGAGCTATTTTACAAAACAAGCTAATTCATCAGTCATGTCTGTTAATATAACAACAAAACCATGTTATTGTTAGATTCTAGGAACAGTACAAATTCTAAGAATTTTCTTATCTTAAGACCCTAACAACTATAATACATGTAACTTTATATGCACATATACATGCACTACCGGTATATTAATGTCGTGTGAGTGACATGTGTTACCAGAGACAAAACTGCAGATATGTATGATACATGTTTTATATATGTCTCTGTTATGACAGTAGATTCAGATTTGAGCTTGCACTTTTACGAAGACATGTCAGGCGTATGCGGCAAATTAACATTTCTGCGCCTCTTAGATCATGTAGATAGTGATCAAATAATTATTAGACCAAAACTGACAAGATTATCTGAACAGTATGTTGCTCCATCGTTTTGAATATTGTTCTTCATTAATATTTACATCTTCTACATTTCTAAAAACTATGTTTACAATAATGAAAGCTAGACTTACCTGTACAACACCAATGTAATTTATACTAAAAGTCTACAGGGCCGGTTTTCTTCGTTTGCAGACGAATTTGTTTACGAGAAAATGACACGTGTAACCCCGGCCAAAAATCTACATGCGCCAAGAAGGAATAGCCCCTCAAAGTGAAAGTAGGAAAAAAATTAACCATCGGCTTATGTTTAGTTTGTCACTTTTAAAGTCATCCAAATCTTGCACAAATCTTCAATATATGTAGCTTTTAAATGAACAATACTGAATATATGATATAAGAGAGGTCAAAACAATGGGGCTAAAGGTCAACCTACATGTAAACACTATCGGAAGAATCTGGGATTTTCTGGATGTTTCGGGGAACATTTTTAATTTATTTCATTTTAAAAAAAAATTAATCTTGCAATGTATATGCATGTGTTTTATTTCGTGAATATGTCAGGCATTATTGCCCCCCCCCCCCTTCCCGATTTTCATTCCATAAAAAGGAGAATAATGTGATTACTTCTTCTTGGGCTGAAACAGTCAAATATATGTATAGTTATTTTATATTAAAATTAATTCCAGATTCATATAAAATCCACTTCAAATGAAGCTTCATTCAGGAAAGAATGGCAACTTTTGTTCTATTTTACATGGTACGAAACATAGTACGAACGTATTACTCAAGATAGAACGCTTCCCATATAAATAGACCGAATTTGCTCATGATAATGATTGCACCATCAGTGAATTGGTAGAATTTCAAAAACAATGAGAAGGTATTTGAAAAAATCTTTTGTAGCCAAACAAAAAAAAAAACTTTCCTTTGATTGATTGAAAGTTCAAAGTTTGAACTTCCAATCTTCCTTCTCCTTGTTAAAAGAAGAGCAGATTTCTCTTGCAATTTAGTTCCAGGTGATAACACTGAATGTAAGGCCAAAATAAAAAATACTCTTGTTTCCTGTCACCCGACCTACCCTACACGTTACCCTCCGACCCTAAATGTTTTTATTACATTTTCATTTTTTGGGTGACTATTTTTCATACTACACACAATATTTACAGAATTAATACATCACAAGTGTACAGGATAACTTTACTTTATAAATCTTGATTAACAAACTTGCTTTGTAAACTGTTAACATATCATTTTCTTGTTATTACATGCTATATGTTCTGCATTCATTGAGTTTTGAAAATAAAATTTTTTCTCAAAATAAAATTTTTTCCCTACCTACCGACCCTAATTTTTTTGGTCAGGGGACAGGAAACAAGAGTATATTTTCTTTTGGCCTAATGTACGTTCAAACAAAATTTGTCACTGTTTGATCATTACACACATAGTCTTCAGGTCTTAGTGTTTATATGTTGAAGCATGGAGAACTACTACATGAGTTACTGAATAATTGCAATGAAAACAAAATTGTATAATTATCTTTCAGAGTAACCTGCATAATATCCGAGGACAAGCACCTGTTCCTGTCCGATTCTGGATTGATCCTTGAGAATTTACATCTACAGGTATAATCAAAACAACGAGCTTGTGAGAGAAATTTTAAATGATGTGTTAGTTTACCTTAGGTTGGTTAGCCAATATTGGGGTCATAAAGTTTTACACAAAAAATCTTATTCTTCTCAAAGACAGCAGCTGATTATGAATGTGTGAAGCTTGTAAATAAAAATTGTAAATAAAAGAATATATTTACTGTGCAAATTGCATGATGTGGAATTCTAACTTTGCATGGTCCCCTATCCAAGAAATGGTCCATGGGAGAGGTTTATAAGATGAAGAAAATCATCTAAATTATTGCATAAACAAGCTAATTCAGAGAATTCGTGTCCCCCGCTTAGGGAAAAAGTCGGCTCCCCCTGACTGAATTTGTAGAATTATTAAATGTATACATGTATACTGAAGGAAATAAAATACATGTATGTCAATTTGCATATGAAGATTTGATTGCTTATTCTTTATTATGTGTATAGAAGATTTTTTCATATGGAATATTTATCACACTGTAATGATGATTTTATAACCTCATAAATTTTTCATTTCACATGCTGAATACTATCATTTAGTAAAAAAAAAAGTATTTAAAAAAAAAAAAAAAAAAAAGAACGGTCCGTTTTGATCCCGGGACCTCTCACATTTGAAGCGAGAGACATAACCACTAGACCACGGAGTCGCTTTACATGGAGTGAAGTATATGCAGAAGTGAAGTCACATACATGTATATATTCATGTTTTCATGTTCGGTATTCTCAAAATTTTACACAATCCATGGTGTTTGATTTATTTAGCCTTTATTAAACAGTTCTAATAGATGTAATAAGAACATAAAGTCCGCCGAGAACCTGTTTTATACGCAATAACTCTCCTCATGCCCCTGCGCTAAAAATAGCGACATGTAATACTATAAATACTAATAAAACAAATGGGGTGGGGCACTTTGAGAGGGGCGAGAGACGTCCTAGGGAGTTTTGGTATAAAATTACATTGCATCAGCTCAAAATCTTCTTGAAATATCGCCCGGAAATGATAGTGTTACACACAGACAGAATGTATAAATTTACGACCTTGAACTTTGACCTTTTGAACTCAAAATCAATAGGGGTCTTCTTTAGGCCACAGGGAGTTGTTATGTAAAATTTCATTGCAATAGCTCAAATGGTTCTAGAGATATTGTGTGGAAACGAAAGTGTTTTAACAGACAGAATTTGCTTATTTATGACCTTGACCTTTGACCTTTTGACCTCAAAATCAATAGGGGTCTTCTTTAGTCCATAGGGAGTTGCTATGCTAAATTTCATTGCAAAAGCTCAAAGGGTTCTCGTCGTGTGGAAACGAAAGCGTTACAGACAGACAGAAAGACGGACGGACGGACAAACCCAAATTAATATCCCCCACTTTTCAAGCGGGGGACAAAAAGAGACATTAAAAATGCGAACAACTATGATGTTGTTATAGGATGCATTTTCTCCCTCAAGGGTTGTCAAACTGGCCAATAATTTCAAGATCCCCACTTCTACTCAAATATTAGGGACCTTTCTGCAGGACCATATTTTTTTGTTTAAGAGGTTAAATAGATTGAATTACTGTCCCCTTGTGGTGTAATTAGTGTATGTGTACATTAATTGGCTTATTCAAAATTTGGCACAATCACATGGCATTGATATGTTGACATATTCATGAATTAGCGTTACAAACAAATGTGCCATTTGTTGCATTTATAAATGATGTGTTAGCGGTATTTTTAGGTCACCTGAGTCACTCAGGTGACCTATTGCCATCCGTGTTTGTCCGTCGGCGTCCGTCGTCCGTCGTGTGTTAACTTTTGAACATTTTCATCTTCTTCTCTGAAACCGCTAAACCAATTTCAACCAAATTTTGTATACAGCATCTGTGGGTGAAGGGGAACAAAAATATCGAATTTCATGGTCCCTGCCCCCCTGGGACCTGAGGGGTGGGGCCAAAACCACAAAAATTAATGAAATCTTTAAAAATCTTCTTCTTTACTCCTGGACATCAAGCAGGCAAACTGTTAGCATGAATGTAATGTCTATTGAGTCCTCTACCAAAATTGTGAAATTCATGGCCCCAGGGTCAGGGGTTCTGGTGCTAGGGTAGGGCTCTATTGATTATATAGTGAAAATGCATTATTTGTTTGAAAATCTTCTTTTCTGCTCCTGGGTATTAAACAAACTAAGTAAGTACATAGTTATGATGAGCAAGAGCCCCTCTTCCAAAATTGTGAATTTTGTAGCCCCAGGGTCAGGGGTTCTGGTGTTAGGGTGGGGCTCTATTGATTATATAGTGAAAATGCATTAATTCTTCAAAAATCTTCTTTTCTGCTCCTGGGTATTAAAAAAACTAACTAAGTACATAGTTATGATGAGCAAGAGTGCCTCTTCCTAAATTGTGAATGTTATGGCCCCAGGGTCAGGGGTTCTGGTGTTAGGGTGGGGCTCTATTGATTATATAGTGAAAATGCATTAATTCTTCAAAAATCTTCTTTTCTGCTCCTGGGTATTAAAAAAACTAACTAAGTACATAGTTATGATGAGCAAGAGTGCCTCTTCCTAAATTGTGAATGTTATGGCCCCAGGGTCATGGGGTTCTGGTGTTAGGGCGGTGCTATAGAGATTATATAGTGAAAATGCATTGATTCTTCAAAAATCTTCTTTTCTGCTCCTGGGTATTAAATAAACTAAGTACATAGTTATGATGAGCAAAAGTGCCTCTTCTAAAATTGTAAATTTTTTGGCCCCAGGGTCAGGGATTTTGGTGTTATGGTGGGGCTCTATTAATTATATAGTTAAAATGCATTGATTCTTCAAAAATCTTCTTTTCTGCTCCTGGGTATTAAATAAACTAAGTTAGTACATAGTTATGATGAGCAAAAGTGCCTCTTCCAAAATTGTGAATTTTGTGGCCCCAGGGTCAGGGGCTCCGGTGTTAGGGTGGGGCTCTATTGATTATATAGTGAAAATGCATTAATTCTTCAAAAATCTTCTTTTCTGCTCCTGGGTATTAAAAAAACTAACTAAGTACATAGTTATGATGAGCAAAAGTGCTTCTTCCTAAATTGTGAATGTTATGGCCCCAGGGTCAGGGGTTCTGGTGTTAGGGCCGGGCACTATTGATCATACAGTAAAAATGCATTAATTCTTTGAAAATCTTCTTCTCTGCTTCTGGGTTTTAAATAAACTAACTAAGTACATAGTTATGATCATAAGCAAGGGTGCCTCTTTCAAAACTGTGAATTTTATGGCCCCTGTTTCAGAGGTTTTGCCATTTGGTGAAAGGGGGGGGGGTGTCTTTTGATTATACAGTAAAAATACATTGATTCTAATCTTTGAAAATCTTTTCCTTTGCTCCTGGCTATTATGCTAATGATCCAAGTATATATATATTTATGATAAAGAAAGGAGCATCTAGCAAAATGGTTAATTTCATGCCCCCTGGGTCAGGGGAGGGGGATGTTACATTGTCTGAAAATAAATTAATGCTTTGAAATCTGCTCTTTGGTATTAATCAACCATTTATGATGAAATGAAATAAGTTGTTACATGATACTCAGGTGACCTATAAGGCCCATGGGCCTCTTGTTTTATTAGTGCATTGTAGCCCATTATTTTAAGCTCACATACAGTAATGAGTATATTGTGTAACTGACCTTCTGCCCTGCCTTGTCTGCCCATTATTAAAAATAAAAGAATTATCAATCAGGGGCACTTAAATTGGGGTATGGACCTCCTCCCCTTTCCCTATTTTTTTGTATTCATATCAGCTATTGAAAAACTTTTCTTTTTCATGGATTCTTTTTGTTCCTTATATTTTATCAAAAAAGAATATTTTTTTAATTTTCAGAAGAATTTTACAGCCATTGTTATTGTTTTTTTGTTTGTTTGTAGAATCCAGTTTTGCAGTATGTGATATCTGTGTGCACAGCTTTCCACAAAGAACATGGGTTTGGACTGAAGTCTTTGTTATACCTCATTACTGAGATTTACAAACTGTCCAGCTTATTATATCAACAGGTAAACAGCTACATACATACATATAGGGGGAAAAGACAGGTTCTGAAACAAAAGAGAGTATCAATATGTATTTTTGGTAATAAACATTTGATTTCAGTCAGTTTTTCTTTTCCTTAAAGCAGTATTCTATCAACATCTGACTTTTTTTACATCAGTTTACTACATTTCAAACATTTTATTTATATCAGGGTATCCCTATTTGCAAGATTCAAGAACATTTAGAAGCAAGCTTTAGAATTTGCAAAGAAAAAGCTAAAGATATAAAAATCCACATGAAGATAAGTTCCAACCCTCAATCAAAGGTTGAGAAAATGGAACCATATTTCACTGCTCAAGAATCAGATAAGGAAGAAAGACTGTGGACTCCAAAAGAATTATTGAAGACATCTACTTCAAAAGAGCAAAAATTTAGTATCAGTGGTAATATTGATGAATTGTGTGCTGAGAAATCAACAGAAGTAAGTACTATTTGTCCAATAAGGCTGAGGATGTTGAACATTGAGGCAGAGGATGAGGAAGATATAGAAGATGTAACCTGGTTCTTCACAGAAGATACACCACTGGGTACCAGCCAAATCAATGGACCCGAATCTACATTCAGCACAGGGTGCAGAGCAAATAGTCACTTTGATGTGGATGTAGATGAAGTGATTAAGGAGGAAGTGCAGTTCATGTCTTTGAAAAATGATGAAAGTGATAACTCTAATGATGATGAATTCGATGATTGTTTTGATGATATTCCAAAGGTGGTGAAATCTCAAACATTTCAAAGCACAACCTTTGATGTTAATTCGCAGACATCTCAAAAAACACAACTGTCATTGACAATGGGTTCTTCTAAATTCAGTCATGAGACAAAGATCAGCTGTAGTAAACCAAGGGAATCAAGATTTCAACAAAAAGCCTGTCATCTGAAGTATCCTGATGAAAATGAATTTGACAAGTGCTTTGAAAAATCCTTCAGAAAGCCAAGTGATACTCGCAAACACAACCTTGAAAATGTGAGTATAAAGCAACAGAAAAATACAGACCTTTTTGAAAAACTTCAGAAAACACCAAAGGTCAAAAGTAATCAAGTTTGGAACTGCAGCAGACATTTCAAAACCATTGAATCAACTGTAGAAGAATTAAGGGGAGGTAATGATATTAATCACTGTAAACGAACAACAAATTACCAAGAGAAAGAGTCATTAGACTCCTCTCCTATAGATGGTCATGAAAAACTCCCTTCCAAAGACACATCTGAGTCAAAAAAGAATTTGAATAATTTGATTTCCAAATTGAAAATCAAAACATCATCATCAAAAATATTCAATAGGAGCAGACACTACAAAACTGTAAAATCTACTTTAGATGAATTACATGAAGGGAAGGATGAGGACCATTCAAGTATTAAAAATTCTTACTCCAAGATACAATTGCTTGAAAGGACAGAAAATGTTTCCTTGAGTGTAGGAGATGAAGAATTTTCCTCTGCAAGGAACCAGTCCATAGCAGATGTAGGACACCAGTCAGTAACCCAGGGAGTGAGACAGGATTGTGAGGATGATTTGGGGGAAACCATTTCAGACAGAGATGTAAGAATAGCTAGGGGATTGAGCCATGGTTGTGAAGATGTAATGGATATTGTTCTTAAAGTGGCATCCATGCAAACACCAAATCAGAAATCTTCAAGGTAAACATTTGATGATTATTCTTTTTTAAAGAATTGGATTGAGGCTTTCAATGATTTTTAAGTGAAAAATGTGAATTTAATGTTATGAAGACAATAGGCTACATCAGAACTTTATTCATAACTATTTATTCCAATAGTTTGCCAATTCTCCAATGGCACATTCCAGTTATTTACTATAACATACTTAGTATGTGGTGAGTAATCACCTCATACCTCCTCTTATTTGAAAGCACTGCGTTTCCTGCAGAAAGTATAATTTTTACATTTATTGACTGGTTTCAAGGGCTATTCATGCCATTTGTTCCGACCAAGAACCAAAGTGTTTGCCTGAGGTTGTTGGCAGTACATTTATTTTCAGGATATTAATCGTATCTTGTGCATTATTCCATGATGTAAATTTTCTCACTCCAAGGTCCAGATATTGACAGTCTCATTAAATCATAGGATATGTTATACTTTCATAGTAAAGATTTATTAAATAAGAACCAGTTTTGAAAAATACTGTGTAACAATATACATTTACTGACTGGGTTTGAGGGCACTATTCATTTTTTCAGATTCAAAAACCAATCCAAGGTTTGCCTGGGCTATTACCTGGTATATCTAAGGCAAGCAGTTTAATTTTTGGTATTTGACAGTTAGGGAATTAACTCGATTATTCTCAGGAATAATGCCAAATGCACACACCAAAACGTTTGCCTTGGGTCTAATGGCCTACAGTATCAAAAACACTTTGGTTCAATTAAGGGCCTCACAAAATGCATGTTGCCCTCAAACCCAGTCAATAAATAATTTTGCATTTCATTTATACTCCTATTTGTGCTGGTAAAGCATTTATACAATATTATTTGTTTTAGGTTCAATGTATCTAATGTCAGTGTTGTGACCTGCCCTGTTGGTCTTCTGTCAGATAACCCTGTGATCGTGAACGGGACTGTAATTGAAGTGTCCAGTGATGTCATCATAGGCTTAGTCAACAAACGGAGACAACTTCTCAGAACTGTGGTAAATCAATATTTCTAACTTAAAACTCATGCAAGCTTCAAGGTGTCATGCCTTTCATTTATCCAAAAGATGGTCAGATGTAGGTCAGCTGAGCCTCACAATTTTGAATGCATTTGTCAATTCTCATTCAATAAAATAGAACTTAATTGGTACTTGAAAAATGTCTGATTCTCAATGCTTAAAAATAAGGATAGCTAGATAGCTAGCAGTAGCTTCTCTGTTCGTTGGAATTAGATGGACAGCAATTAACTTCTCTAAATGATCTTCATATTCTTTTTTATTACTGTATAAATATACTAGTCAAAATTTCTAAGTCCCCAGGCAAGTTTTTGTTATACACCGCTCTTATATTGAATTATTTTAACAGTATAATTTGATAAGTATACAGGATAAAGAAGTAGCAAAACAATTTTTCTTACTTAGTTTATTTTATTGAAGAACTTGAACACAATATGCAGAAACTTTAATGCACCCTAGAATTAAAAAATCACAACATTAAATACTGCATTAGCCTCCATTCAAACGAATTCACAGCAAGACAAACGTTCCTCAAAGAATTCACACTATTTAATAAAAATTCTTTTATTGAATGTTTTTGCATGTGGAGACTAGGTAGTCCTCTAGTTCTGCTAGATTCTGCTGCTGGAATTGCTGTCTCAAACACCGGTCTATCTTTTTCCATACATGTAAGTCAGGGTTGAGATAAGAATGACAAGGGGGCTTACAGAAAGTGCCCGTGCATTGCTGACAATAGTTACATAATGTCTCATTACATGTATTCCCCACTCCTTCAGTTTGACATAGAGGAGAAGGCACTTCCGGTTCCGGTTCCATTGATATTTCCGGTTAAACTTTAGAATGATTTGTTGCGTTTGTTGAAAATCTAGCAATCTCTAATGATTAAAACGAATTCATGTATGCTTTGTAGGTTTTTCGGGTGGTAATCATAAAGGTTTTGAGTAAAATAAAGTCATACACTGAAAGGAAACAGAACTTTCGTTATTACGACTAGATTGGGGCCATATCAACTTCACTTTCACATTGTTGTGTGAACATACACCGCATTTTAATGAAACTTTTTTCTGTTTTTCGTTATCAATTAAACATGGAGAACACGTGGAAGTAAAAATTATGAAGAATACACCCGAAATTCACATGGTAATTGAATTTCATGCGTTTTAACAAAAACAGTCACGGTCGAGTAATTACACATTCGATTACAATTTTTTTGGTTTTGACAGGTAAGTATTGCAAATTAAAGGCAAAATTGTAAGTAACTAGTACATTGATGTTAACATTTGGAACTTTTTTGAAAAAACAAAAGCGGGGACTTAGAAATTTTGACAAGTATATATATATTTCTCAAGAAGGAAGCAATTGCAAGAATGTGGTCCAAAAATTGCATTTAGAAAATGCCTCCATTTTTTTTTACATTTTAAAGAAAGAAAATTATTAAATATTCAATTATTCATATTAACTTTCGTATATACACCAGTTCATATACATTTGCAGGTAATTAATGGTGATGTCACGCCAGCATTCAGACACAAAGGGTACAAATCCACCCTGGACACAGCGAGCACCAGCACCTCCTCCCAGCAGTACCTCACTCACAGAGAGGATTCCTGGGTAGAACAGGTCGCCCACACTCTGGAAATGGTAGGGATAACAATCAGGACCTACGAGTAATTATATATATAAAGTGTACTTTAAAAGTGGACTTTACAGAATGCTTAGAATGTATTCGGCCATTACGAGGTTTTCTTATAAGAATTTACCAAAAAATTCATAACTATCAGGAAGAAAGTTTATAGCTCTAGGAATTTTTGTAAGTTTGGATTTTTTTGTTTTTAGAAATTTTCATACCCCCAAAGCAATCTATCTGCGAACATTACACATAGTAAAAACTTAAAATGACTTTTAATGTTGTTGCTTTGTGCTACAAAACATGGGGAGCATGTAAGAGTAAAAACCAAGGTGAATATGTATATGTTTTATACATCTACAAAACAGTAAACATTAGGTAAATATTACATGCTTTTTATGTCCCTGGATCGAAAGATCCCAGGGATATGTATTTTTTTTGTCCTATCAGTCTGTTTGTCTGTCTGCCTGTTGTCAACTCTAATCTAGCCCTAACTATTGTGCTGTCAAGGGTGAATACCACTTCAGTCTATGTCCCACTCCATAATTGTGTTACCAATGGGTGGCATTGTGTTTCACAAACACATCTTGTTTCACACTGTTAATTATTTTATAAACATTCAATGTTACAAAGCTCTTCAAGGTATTTTAAGTTTCTGTGATGTATTCTGTTTTAGGAACATATAGATGCTGTGCTAGCCAGTGGGAAGATCTGTCCTGACCTCCAGGGCCGATTACACCATGTAGTTATGGTACAAAATGTCCCATTCCCAGCTCTCCAGTGTGTCTGTACATCATCTGAGATCACAATGGCCACCTATGTGTCTGATATATGCCAGGTATGATTGAAAAGACAATTAAAAGTTATATATTAAAATTTATTTTCTACTATTAAAAATATTAACATATTTTTATATGCAAAATATGGTGTGATGAATTTTACAAAATTGAAAATACTGCTGCATATATGTTTAGTGAATTCAAATTAATTTTAAGGATAGTGAATTTTAATTACAAGCAGCAAGTTTGAACAGAGGTGTAAAGATGTCTGCATATTAAGGCTTTACTTCATTCATGGGGAAAGTTGTTTACAAGAAGAACTGTTTACAACACTGTTCCATATATAAAAAAAAATCATCATTTAGTATCATAGCATTCAGAGGTCCTCATTTCCTTAGTCTACCTGTTTCACCAATCACCCTCTTCCAAATTGATATCCTTTAAATTGTGCTATATTTTAATGCTTCAGTTCATAGGTATCATAAAGCTGCTTGATGTTTATATAGATGGCATTAATTACAGCCATACTATTAGTATTAAGTTTAGATCTGTTTTGAACTTTATTTTATTTTCCAGTTTCACATTTGTCCTGGCCTGGCTTTTGAGGCTTTATATGATGACTGGGTCTACTGTCACACTGACAAACATTATGTCTCTGTCACACTTCCTCAAAAACTGACACAGGTAAGTATCATAAGCAGTACACAAATGTTATATCAGTTACAGTAACAGTTACAGCAGAATCTGGTCAAGTTTGTATGAAAGAAGATGGATCAAGAAGGCATGCAGAATGTCTTAGTTTAATTAGTGTGACAAACATGAAAATGAAAAATTATAAATTCAATAATTTTTTTTCATTGAAGTATACGTAAAAAAAAATTTGGTTCTCAAAATCATGGAGCAAATACCCAATATACCTACATTAAAGATACACTTAATATGACACAAATTGAGAAAATTGAAATACCTGGCAGTACACACAATTTTGACATTGAGTAGCAGATTTATAAAGAATCAGTTTTGACAATTTTATAAAAGAAAAGCATTCTGAGAGTACTGCATTAGCAAAACCGGCATGTGTAATCTGGCTCTTGTTAGAAGATGAAAATGTCATTTTTCTGACTAGAATCATTGAAGCAGAAAGAATTAAAAATAAAGAAAAAATGAAAATGAAAGGCCTTTTTACTTTACCCCTATTAAATACCTTTTCAGAGTGTTGTATACAGTCACCCAGCCCAGATAGGTAGGGACTGTTTTGAACAGGAATTCTGGAGGTGTTGTAAATCTTTGTCAAAAGCCTTGGAGAGGGGCAGTGTACTTCCTGGTGAGGGAAAAACTGAAAAGCTTTGTGCACTGTCTCTGCTAGATAGGGCAGGTAAGACAAAAAAAATATTTTCCTTTCATTTTATATTATGAAATGAAGAAGGCAGTTCTCAACTTCAAAGCATCAGTAATTTTTAAAAAGAAAAAAAAGTACAGTATGTATGTTCTAGTACATGTAATTGTATTATTATTAAGTTTTTCATATAACACCTGAGCCTGGCTACTTTTTTCTACAGATGCATCAAAACATGGAACACAGAGTTTCGTTATGAGAGAACTTGCCCAGGTGCTGCTCAGCTATTGTCATTGTGTTCATAATTATACCTCCATCACTCATCTGGTGAATGGCCTCATACAGACCCTGGGGGAAAGACAGTCCAGTACACAGCCCTGCCCTCAGAGTCCTCCCTCTCCAGTTAATGCAATGCAGGACAACTTTACAGAGCAAATAGAATGTTATGATGAAGGAACCACCAAGATGGCTTCCTGGGATGTGGCTATAAATACAGCATTAACGTTGTTACAGATAGATTCTTACATACTGACTGGTGAACCTTCATCCAATCAAATTTGAAATTTCATTTTTGTAATTCAAGGATGGAACTTTGTAAGAGTGTCCATTGTTAGCTTGTTTCATTTATTGCATTAACAGAACATTCCAATGCAGTATGTAACTAAAAGTCATTAATTTTAATATACTTATATAAAAAGTGTCACACAATCCAAATTGGTCTTCTTTCCTTTATCAAGACTTGGAAAAGACAGACACACCTCATAGTCATAACGGTCTATACCCTGTTAAATTTATTGTTTTGAACTAAAAGAATGTATTCACTATGACAAAAGAATTGACCTATAGGAGAGAACAATTTCCCGGCAAAAGTGACATTTAAAAATTAATTTTTATTTGTTGTTTTCTACGGTATATATGTCTAAAGTTTTCAAATTTGTATTTTATACTTAATATTTATTATTTACAACTTTACAATAAACCTCCAAAGTTGACCAAAACACCATTTTGTTGATTTTTGCATGTATTTTGGACTAGAAGTCCTTCAGGGCAGGCCTGACTCTAAATAAAATTGTGATATTTTGATAGGTTGGGATGTAAAGAATAATTTAAGATAGGATTTTTTGGGGCACCCCTCCTAGGGTCGAAATTCCAAAAAAAAACTACAAAAAATAAGGAAAGCTGATTTTGATAAACTGCTCAAAATAATTTTATAGTCAGACTAGCTCAGTTGATGGGCTGTCTTTTACACTATCGATACTTTCTTTTTAAAGTCGTGGGTTCGAATCCACCGGGTAACACACTTTTAAAGTTTTAATTTTTCGCCTTTTCAAAGACTATTTTAGTTTTTTTTTTATTGACTTGTGGATTTTCTTGTATCTATCCTTTATGCATGCCCATTCTTGATATAAGAAAAACTAAAGAGAGATCAAATAGTAACAATCCAACGTACAGTTGTCAGTCAGGCGGAACAATATAAGCATACTTTCTCCGAGGACAAGAATAACTCACTTCATGTTACTCGATACAGGTATTCTTGGTAGCATTGACCCGCGATGAATTTCAATTGTATATATTCCTTAGAATTTTTAAAATCACGTTGATTTTGGTTACATATATCAGTAACCGTTTTCCCTTGAATTTCATTTAGGCCATGCAAAGTTAATTACTTGGTTCTCAGGCCTTTTTTCAAGATATATGATGAGGGAGGGAGGCATGCCTTAGGCATATATAATTTGCACACATTAATGGCATGTTTTATTATATCCAGGGATAAATAGCCTAGACATAAAGAAAAGAATTTCAGAGAAATTAGACATTACCATTATGCACAATGAGAAGTAAAGAAAAAATATCAATTATTACATTTGGAGATGACAAACTCAGAAAATCAATGAAAGGGTTCCTCCTATCTCTACTCACTGAAATAAAGATTTAAGAAAAACAAATTGTTATATGTATTCAGCCTAATGTCATTAACCAGAACGGAAATCGACAAGTTTTTTGTAGAGAATAAAACCAAGCCCGGTCCTATAGGTCAGATCCCATTCATAATGTAGTGATCCTTGTTTTCATGAGTCTTGTGTTGTGATTGATTGAATGTGGTGTTACATTTCATTTAAGAATTCTGCGAATAACCTTTGTTGGTTAAAAAAAAAGTAGCAACTTTTCCAGCCCTTGGTCTTTTGAAGTGAATGTTCAGCGAGTGTTTTAGATGGATATCTTATAAATTGAAACCCACTGCCATGGCAGGCATTGCACGATGAAGATCTCTCACTGCTCAATGGCCTTAAGCAGGCGCGTAGCATCGTTTTTGAAAGTGGGGGAACCAGCCAGAGAAAATGTTCTTTTTTACTTACCTGAAAAAGTTGACAAGCAAAAAAAAAAAAAAAAACAAGAGGCCCATGGGCCACATCGCTCACCTGAGTACTGTAGCTTAGAAAAAGTAGAAATTGGTTTATTATTGAAAAGTTAAAATTCAAAAGTAATTCCATGATCAATCATGGATTTGCTATTCTTCAAAGAATTTTCCCATATATTTCTATGTAAAACTTTGGTCGGCCATTTTGGCCCCGCCCTACCCCCTGGGGTCATGATTTGAACAAATTTGAATCTACACTACCTGAAGATGCTTCCATATAAATATGATGAATAATGGCTTTGTCATTCTTGAGAAGATTTTTAAAGAATTTTCCCATTAATTTCTATGTAAACTTTGGTCGGCCATTTTGGCCCCGCCCCACCCCCAGGGGTCATGATTTGAACAAATTTGAATCTTCACTACCTGAGGATACATCCATATAAATTTGATGAATCATGGCTTTGTCATTCTTGAGAAGAAGATTTTTAAAGAATTTTCCTATATATTTCTATGTAAAACTTGGTCAGCCATTCTGGCCCCGCCCTACCCCCGGGGGTCATGATTTGAACAAACTTGAATCTTCACTACCTGAGGATGCTTCCATATAAAGAACCTGGTTCACTTGTCGCAAAATTCGGCCCCGTGTCAAAATTGATTTTGATTTTGGAATATTCCTCTAAATTCTTCTAAAGAGTTTATATTTTTATGAAATTATCAATATATACCTGTAAAGAGCTTTATTTATGTTTTATATAGCTGTAAAGATAGCATTGTTTACGATAACGTTGCGATATTTTGACGTTGATTTATGCGACGTCATGAATAAGAATGGGATATAATATTTCAAAATATATCCAGCTAACATGCATTTGCCATAATGTAGGTTCATTAAATTTCGTTCACCAACGAAAAATGCAATTTACTGTTCTACATTTGACAGTATACCATACTTACAAATATATTTTTCATTATTAATGGCAAATATTTGAATCAATTCGTAGGTTTGAACTCTTTTTTAAAATCATATTTATTAGAGAAAATAGTTGTTTATTGGTGGGTTTTCATATGTAAGTGGACTGATGCCATGAGATTAATGCCGCTAAAAATATTTCAAAGAACTTGAAACAAAAAGGTACAGGAAGTGTTGAAAAAAAAATTACCATCATACTTTAAAAAGTTTACTATTTTATAGTTAGTTTGATAACCCTACTCAGTTTTTCGCCTTTTTTTTGATGACGTCATTGCTTTTCTATCTTTCGTCCCTCTGCTCACTGCACTTTTTTAAAAGATATATCGTCGTGTTATTAAATACTGATTGAAACCAATTTCGCTTCTATGAATTTATCATGAACAGTTGACTTAACAAAATATTGAAGATGGAACTACGCCTAAGGAGAAAGGTCTTCATTCAATTTTGTCGCTCGTTGAATTACAATTTCTTATGTTGCGAGTAAAACTTTTCAACGTAACAGACTTTGAAGTTTGGACATCCGGACTGCGAATCAGCTTAAAATTATCTATCCTCTACCTTAATCATTTATTCTCCCGAGAAAAAAAGTGTTATCTGGACTTATTTTGTCTATCTCTATTCTGCGGCCAATTCTACATGTATGTGATTATATAACACGAAGCACCACCATCCCATTTCCAGCGTTTTTTTTTTTAATTTACATATAAGAATTTTTTACTCTCTGCCAATTAGTTTTCGGTCAAATCTCAAAGAACTATGATATTGTGAATTTTACGATTCATCAGTTAAATGAAATTGATTATTAGAAGACAAATGCTCATATTTCAAAATGTGTTTCCCCTATTATTTTAAAAATAAGTCGTTATTTAAGATGTATTGATTCGTTTTACCAATGCTTATTGAAACATTTTTATAAGATTTATTCAAAGATATTAGCCGTATGTCTTATAGTTTAGAAGTGGAAAGAAAAGGATGATGTTTTTTTAGGTTTAAGAATGTGTTCCTTTACAAATCAGTATGAAAAAGGGCTAACATATTTGATGTTTTACTGAGAGGGCATAGAAATCGATGTTGGACCGCTGAGTGAGATGTTGGACCTGTAGATGAAATGTTAGACCGCTTACGTCACATTATGGGCGAACCTTAATCTCATTTGCTTTCGTTGGTGATAAACAGTGATGGATATGAAGTTTACATCACGAAACGCAGTACAAGATACATGCATGTAAAAAAAAACAATAAAAGGTATTTAAAAACAACATTTATTGACAGCTAGCTAGTGTCCTCGGGCAAAATGAGTTTTGTCGACCCTCGACCCAAGGTTGGTTCGAAGGTCGACAAAATGCATGTTGCTTTCGAAATCAGTCAATAAATGTATAATATTTCTCGTACATGTATACAAAATAGTTTATCGTTTCGATTCAGCGCATCATTTTTAAAGACGGTCGTAATAACCAAACTTTGTAAATGACTAAAAGGATTATGATTGAAGTTGTTATAGAAAATGATTTAGTGTGCATGTAGCTGAAGACCTGTGCTCGCTGGTCTGAAAAAAAATGGAATGGACCACGGTCACCGTAAAACTACATGGTCAGTTCTGCAGTAAGTGTGCATGTCGGTATGGCTCGCCGGCTTTAAGCTTTCTTGCTTTTCTTATTTTATTTTTAAAAACAATATTCCAACAGAGAATTCGAAGTAAATTCATGTTATCATAAAACAAAATTGTAGAGCTATTGTTCTGATACATGCAGAAATATAACCAGAATCTACGTGATACGCGTATTGAACAGACCGAATTTAACCTTTACATTTCATATTGTCAAGGTTTCGTGTTATCGTTCCTCTTCCAACGTTGTATACGAGAGGTGTAATTTCACAATAATAAAAAAACTTGACGCTGTGTAGATATATCGGTTGGTACATAGATAAGCTAAATACTTGTACTTAATTTCACCCCTATAGTAAACAAGGAGCAAAAGGTACACTGTACATGTACCACACGGTTTATTCATTATTAGAAAGCATGTCGATTCTCGGAAAAGTAAACAGGGTTTATTTCATCTTATACAGTGTGACACAGCAACTTCCATGGGGCAGATTAAAAACATGAAAACAAAACAAACCTTTAAACCTCTTTCCTTCCTATATATCTTATCTACACTGTACTTTACAAGGTATTCTTGAACGTTGCATACCCCCCCCCCCTTATTTTTCGGTAGTTTGCTACATCAGTTTTGCTTTTCAAAATATAATCAAAAGAATGGAACAGGGTGC